TCATAGTGCATTCGAAAGTAGACAGTTAGGGCTATCTACAAAGTATAATTCTCAAAATCGGTATTTTTGACCAAAATTGGAATATTTTGACAGGGAGGGAGCTTAAGAGATGAATAATGTGTCAGATGTGGTCGTCAAAGTGGATTTGCTGTTGTTGAACAAATAAATAATATATATGAAGATTGATGATCGACAAAATATTTTTCGTCTTTCAAGTTCTGTTCCTTCGGTATTTTGTTTATTATCTGTGAAAGCTCTTATATGGAATTAAATTTTAAATTTAGCAAAAATAATCAGTAATAGAAATGGTCAATGGTATAAATTATGTGAAGATGAAAATAATAATATTGTTACTGAATTATTAAATAAATCAATTATGAGCTTTGCAGCAAAAGTTTTGCTGAAAAACTAATCTTACCATTATGTCAAAAATATCTGTATCTAACCAATGTTAAATTTGATAAATCAAATGAAAAACTTATCATTCTAAAACATTTGAAAAAGTTCACTTCAGATAAATTACCTAAATGGGTTCGAAATGCTGCTTATGCTAAATCTGAAATGAAAGAAGATTGTGAGTATGTTTTAAAGAATAACAAAATTGTTTATGTCGTTGCACAAAATACTGGCATTCTACATGATACAATGCGTTGGAGTAATGGTTTACATTGTAATTGTTTACAACAAATATTATTGCACGTGGAACTGATATTCGTGTTAGTTAAGAAGTTGAAGAAAATGGCTGTCTTCATGTTTGTATTACTTTTCTTTAACTTTTTATTAAATGATAAAATATTTCAACAATTTAGTCGTGTACAAGATGGTATCAGCATTTTTCTAGTGGTAAGAGAGATAGTGCAAAAAATGCTGTAAGAGAGGAATTTGGTTTATGGTTAATCGCATCAGATTCAAAGAAAAGTGAAAAATTACAACAATCATTTGAAAATTTTAGAACACCTGATTACATATATCCTTCAGGTTTTTCGATGAACTGATAACTATTAACAGAGTTATTAAATAATTAAGTTTAAATTTTAATTAAAATTTTGACTTGGATGGTGTTGTAAAATAATTCATTATATTCTACTGGAATATCCGATCAACGTCGCGGCAGAGTTATTTTGTAGACAAACTTTGGTTCTATATAATAAGCTTTAAAAAGTTTTCCTACGACATAGGTCTTTTAAGTGAAACATTGTAAAAAGAGTTTTTTCTACTTTTAAGCATAAAAAGTAAGTTTTGAAAACCTTGCCATCGATGACACAATGACAAAGAAGTTCCGAGAAAAATTTTCGCTAGCGAAGTTGTAGCTGATGCTGTTCTGCATGGAATAAAGGGAAGAGAATTTCAAAACAAAATTTTGAACAGAAGTTAAATGAAAATTAAACAATTTTTAATTTAAAATTTTTTAATTAATAATTTTTTAAAGTTTTTATCCTTTGAAAAGAAAAAGTGTTCTCCTTATTCCACGTAGAATTTTATAGGGAACAACTTTTGTTTCAACCGTTTTTATGACCTATGCCCTGCGTAGTCAGAGTCCGTGGCAAGATTTCGTCGCGCGTATCTCTGCAACAATGGCTTCCAAAATCCCAGCAATTATTGTCATAATCAATAAGTTTCAATTGTAACTTAGTGGCTAGTGAGTTCGACGTGGTCTCTACAATTCTGTGCAAGGCCGACCCCTCCATCTATTGTGGTTCTTAAATGCCAGGCATTTAGCTGACGAAATGATAACGAATTACGGGTGACTCAGGAAAATGAATGCCATTCGAGAACCACAATAAATAGAGAGGTCGGTCTTACGCAGAATTGTACAGGACGCTTTGGCATAACTAGCCATTATGTTACAATTAAAAAGCCACCACAGATTCAGAATCTGGCAACCTCATTGCTTTTCATCAGTCAGGTATACCACCTGAAATACCGAGACTTTTGGTACACAATATATGTGACGATAGAGTAAAGCCTTCGCTACAAAATGCTGAAAACTCGAACTCTCTATTTCTTTTTGTTCTCGAGTTATTCCAAAAACATTTATGGCAGCTCTACACCGTCAACGGGATAACACTGCAAAACGAACTGTTTACTGCACATAATGTTTCTCTTACTAAAAACGTTAAGGTAAAGAAAGTTTTGTTTTTGCAAAATAATGGGCTCTCATTTCTTCTTCCATCATTCGTGCATGACGTACCATTCCGTACTAGCTTTTCTTCTCTTTTCTTTGCTTGTTTTTAGTTTTAATTATTTGATTACAGGCACTTCATATACATGGCTACATGGACCGTATTCATCAGTGCATCTCTTTAAGCCACAAAGCTCTTAAATAGTTGTTCAATTTACAAAGCAACTTGAGAAAACGAAAAATTAGGAATAGAATAATTTCAAATTTAACTCGCTTGGTGGAAAATCGGTGTTTTGTAGGCAAATAGCTTTAGTTCGTTTTCAGAAATAATGAATCCTCAGTTGTCTTATGTTCTTCCTGGAAGGCTCACCACTGAAGCAGACTGATAAATGTGATAGCGGCAAACTGAAAGTGCCCGTGAGTGTCGGTGGTCAACAGGCAATGTTAGTTAACAGAAATTTGTTTAACATGTATCATACCTATCCCCAGGCACAAAATCAGTGATTTGATGTCATCAGCTATGATAAAACCGTTATTAGTATGGATTGATAATTAAATAACCAAGGGGGAAATTATGAACTTTATAGACTTGAAGGACTTTAAAGTTCTCTCAGTTCTTTTAAAGTCATCAAAGTCCGTCGACTTGAGCGGACTTCAGGGAATTTAAAGTTCGATAAAGTCTCCATAAGTCCGATCAAGTCTGCTCAAGTCTAAAATCAGCAAATTTCCCCTTGTAAAGAACACATTCACTCTCTATCTAGGAAGTCAAAGATTATACGGTATTCGTCATAGAACCAGTAAGTATTCATGGATTACACGGTCAATTTGATAAGCTAAAAGAGATCTAACGTTCTGTTCTCTAGTAGTTAGAAGGTTACCAGGTTTACTCTTGATTCGTCTCTAATTGCTCACTCTCACTTTTGATGTCACCTTTGATGTTGTTTGATCTTAAAAGTCAATTAGGAAAAAAAAGCTAAGCCTATAACGAGTTTTTCGCAGGCCTTATTCGAAAAGAATCAATAAAGATAAACAAACGTTCTGTTACAAGCCTGTTTACTACAAGCACTAGTAGAAACAGTTGACATAATATTTGAATATTTTACTGCAAAGAAAAAGTTTAGAAAATTTTCTAACTGAAACCATCAAAAGTAATTGAATTTGTAGACTTCATATTACGGGGGATATAAAACACTTTTTTTAATTAGAATTTGTTATTGCAGAAATTTACTTCTGCCACTGGAAAGAGAAAGCAAAACTGCATCCGAATCTTTCTTTTTATCAGCAACGCTTTTTTCGATTAAAATTACAGACTTCACATGATCATAATTGATAGAAGTTTGTTCTCTATTAGCATAACATTCGACCTATGTGTACGAGATCGTCTTTTAGTTGAATCCTGGATGAAAAACAGCGATCTCCATGTAGTACGGTTTGGATGTTTGGATTGACCTTTACAAAAAAATATTCTTTTGGACATGGGCGCTCAATTTTTAAAAGTTCAAATCTGAAGAATGCCAAAGCATTAGCATCATTTGAGTGTTTGTAGCATCGTTTGGCATAGTTTACCATTAAAAATGTTGACCACAATCTACTAAAACTTTGCGAAAAACGGTTTAAATAGTCTTAAAATTTATCTGCGAAACATATTTTCTGAAACCAAAATATCAATATTTATGTGATTTGTGTGTGACCAAAGCTGATGAATATTTGGAATAAGAAGAGCTTGCTCGAAAATCACGAAAATTTGATCCTGAAGAGAACGCTGTTGATGGCGACATCACAAGAATCAGAACTAAATGTAATTAATTATAATAATATAATAATCATAATCTTTTTTTAATAGAATTTCTCAAAAAGTTATATATGTAGTATTGTTTTATTTCAAAATGAATGATTTCTATCGACCTCTCACTAATTCAGTACTCTTTTACTTTGTTTTCTCTCGTTGAAATAAGAATCAAAACATCTCTCTCTCATTCTCGTGAAGAACAGAAAAAGAAGAGAAAATACGAGATGCATGACACAAGCATGTGTTCACTACGCTAATGAAGATATATACAAAAAACAACTGAAATCAAATTCACTCCAACCTTTTACCGAACAAATGTCTTGCGATCTTCTGAATTTTTTTGCTTTAAAAAACAAAAAAATATACGACTTATATATAATCGGAAAAAATTTATATCCTAATCAGAAGATAGAAAAAAGATATATCCCGTTTGGGATATGCTTCCTCACTACATGTCGTACCCTGCTTTTTAGTAGCAGCTTGTAAAGAAATTTGATTTTGACTTCATGTTAAATCCGTACTCGTAACGAGATGAAAAAAGGCTTCCGTGCATCTAGTTTTGACTGTTTTCAATTCGTACGAGTTTAAAATAGCCTCCCCTATACTATATTAGAACATAACACTCATTTGGACTTGTAACGAGTTCAAAACAGCTTTCCGGTCTTAAAGAAGACGTTAGTATTTTTCACCTCGTAACGAGTTTAAAGACTGCCATCCGTGTTGATTTTTGAGAAATATCATATTAAAATTAAAATTGTTTCGCATTTAAGATGTCAACTAAAAGCCTAAAAGAGATTAAATGTTGTTCAGTTTTTGCCGACCGAAAAACCTCTTTTAGAGGCCGCGGACGACGGTGGAAAATCTTTCAAGGGACTACTCCGCCGCCACCGATCGGAAAACTTTTGTTTCACGCCGCCGCCGATTTTCCCACCGGCGCATAGGCCTAGTTGCACAAACTAAACGAATCAAGCGTCGCAAAGTAATCGTCATAATACTGTTTGGAACGCAATGGTTGGTCTCACCTTCAGATAGCTCACACCATCATATGACTCACCATAGATCCTCTGTAAAAAAAATGAACAGTTTACTTTAATTATTCTTTTCTTGTTGAGTAAACAACGGCTGATACAGTTTTGAGATTTCAATTGACCGTTCAATATCGTACATTGCACGATGAAGTTCACCATCAGGACCTTTCATTTTTGTCAACACTTGTGCATCGAATCTTTTTGATTTTTCGGGTGCCCAACGCTCCATAAGACCATTTAAAGTGCTAACATCGATAACTCGATAATGGAGATGTTCGTATACACGTGGCATTTTCGTCCGAATCACATCACGATCCCAGTGAATCGAGTTACCGGCGAGTGGACAAGCTTTTGGTGGACAATGACGTTTTAGTAGTGCTAACAGTTCGTCTTCCATTCTAGCTGCTGTCATTGTGGATATCACAACATCATCGAATAAACCGTTTCCGCCTTTATCTCGAGATGTGAAATTTTTTTGATGCCATTCCTCTAGTTTATCGAGTTCCTCTTGTTCAAAATGAACGATCCAGTTGCCTCGATCGAGTTCGTTCAAATATTTATCCGTGATGATAACAGCACATTCGAGAATATCTGGATTGTCGAGTGACGTCATTTCTAAGTCTAACCAAATGATATTCAGAGCTTTTCGTCTAGTATCGTTCAGACTCGTTGCAGTCTGTTCATCATCATTTTCTATCGTTGCTTCAGCGCCGAGTTCTATCAACAGCTCAAACATTTGCTGGTTTTGCTGCAATGCACACATATGTAATGGTGTATTCCCGTCACAGTCTCGTTTAATGTTCAAATTAAATTTGTGATCTCTGACAGCATGTCGTATAAGTTTTGGGTGTCCGGTGTAAACGAGCTCGAAGATGAAGGGTGATTTGAGTCGTCTAGCTTCATTTCGCCATGATTGAATTTTATCCAGACCGAACTCCTTGATCAGTGAGTCAAGGACATGCATCATTTTCTTTTCGCGACCACGGAGTGCGAGAAACTCATTTATGCCGACATCGAGTAGGAACGATTCATCCTTTGTAGATACAGCCATAGAGCTAGAACGAGTTTTATAAAATTCTTTATACTTTTCAGAAGATGACAGTCAGGACTGCTAAAGTGTCTGTAATTAGTTTCAGTTCTCACCAAAAATAAGGTTTATTCTCAATCCTGATAGTGAAGTTCACTCCTCGAATCTTAAAATTCTCTGTTTTCACGATTATATTACTTCTATAGTTATAATTTTCACAGTGAAATGACAATCATTGCAGCAATGACCAGTAACATTACTTTTCATCTAGAGGTTTTGTTTCTTTCATGGCATTCAAGGCCATTTCAAAGCAACAATGACATCCAGAGATTCATTTACCAACGTGAATGTACACTGAATATACAGTGAATGTATGTGACTAACCTTGCTTTATTTAGAGTAAAACAACAAGCAATCACTAAGACTATTTTTGTGTACAAACAGAACTACTCACGCCAGTAACGTGATGATTTTTTCCTTTTTTTCGACGCAGAAGAATAATAAAAAAGAAATGAAGACATATGCAAACAAAAAAAATAATGCGTGTTTTGTATGCGAGCAGGAAACAGACTATTCATAAATGACGTCATTAGTTTTTCCCGAAATTCCAGTCCTCATTGTTCTCTTTTCTTCCTCCTCTTGCGCATGACTTCATCAGGCTTGATTTCTCTAATGACTGAAACAAAAAAACAACCAATGATTAGAACAGAAAAAAGCAAACTATCTGTATATTCTTTGATTCCAAACGGAGCCAGTGTTCGTGTACAAGCGATGCGGTTTAACGGCAGGATCCCGTCAGATCTAATCAATCAACAATTCGTGCACTTATACATTTTTTGAGTCATTTCTAACTGACTATCAGATCAATATGTATGAGAGATGTGGCGTCATTCCCATTACCACGGAAGAGTACTTAGTCAAAGACAAAATGTACAGAAGGAAATTTGCGAAACAATAGTTTTGGTATTTTTCTATCGAAAAGCGCAGAAAAACTATGGGTGTGTTCGCGTTCTTTTTTCGCCAACCCCATCGCAACAATACGCAACGATCGGAACACATCGATGATACACTTTTTTCAGACGTTTCGGGTGGGTCTATATATCTCGATTTACGGGCTACTAAATGCCAGAAGAGTTTTGGTTTCAGGTGCTAAGGACTCTGGGAATACATTGAGGGTAAAACTGCAAGGACGTGAGATAAAAATAGTTTTAAATTAAATCTATATAGATTGTGAAACTAGAAACTTCCGCCTATTGGCTAGTAAAAAAGTATTTATTTTGGGCTTACACTCACGGAGAAACATAAATTTCAACCTAATAGCGTTCCCGTTCAGTATAATGACAAATATCAATGGATCCCACCTTCTAACTGGCTGAAAATTTCACAAAATATTCCTCTATGCATCCCATATCTATGATATTAATGCCAAAATAGCGCAACTGTTCTTGGGCTTTAGCATAGATTTTTCAAAAAGCCTTCGTCCTATATTCAATCTTGTGCTTGATAGTATTAGCCTTTTAAACCCTCAGTAGCCATATAATGGACTGTTTATTCTGGAAAACGCAAATTCTGTACATGCTCAACAATTACGCTCCATAATTAGTGTTTTAAACACTCTCACTTTTAGACGTAGATTAATTTTCCAAAATAATTATGTGAGCCCCAAGATTCCACCTACAGCGGTTCAGCCGCAATAAAATTTTTCCGAGGATCTGTCAACTGGCTAAACTTCATCTTTGGCAACTTCCAGATGCATGGATCATAGGTTCTCGATCACGTTGAATATCGACAATGTTTAGTTTTCGAAAAAGCTTTGAAAAACTAGTGAAAACCTATACTAGACGAAACAATCCGTTTTTCATTAGTTGTAACTTACCGGAAATTAAAAAATTCATAACTCAGGCAAAACTGTTCCAAACTGCTTTAAAATATCTACCTAGGCTCTATTTTATCTCCCTAACCGTATTCTGTAATAGAAATATATACGAAATATTCGCTTATACTAAGAACTGTCTAGAAAAACTTTCAAAAACCGAAGTGCTTTCTATTGGTTTCCAAAGATGAAGTTTAACTGGCTGGTAGATCCACGGAAAAATTTTATGGCGACTGAACCGCCATAAGTTTTGTAGAGTAACGTCAAGAGGTTCGAACCCATCTCTTAGCATTTAAAATTCGAAACTTTTTTAGTGAAGCAAATACCTTTTGCAAAAAGTCTTGATGAGGCTTATCACCTGAAAGCAGTAAATTTATAATTATTTTTATATATTCTGATAGCCCCAACAATCTTCTCTTTAAAACTGAAAACCACAGGTCTCTGTCTGTTTTCTATCAAGAACTATTAAAAAAACAACGGACTCCTTCGAAATAGATAATAGTAGTTTCTGTGACTTCGTTCTAAAACTATGGGAAAGGACGATGTTAAATAACCAACAACTTCAAGCAAGCGTTATGAAATTTTTGAATTAGACCAATAACATGGGCGTACCAGAAAACCTATAAAAAGTACACTTCAAAATGTTTTTGCAGCTTTTCCTATGACTTGGTTTTGCACAAATTCAGATTTTCTATAAAACTTAGATAAAAGCGTCTAAAAATATTTCGGATTAAACTAATCAAATCAGCACATCAGAAAACATGAATTCAAAAACCTTTTAGGTCTTTTTCTAGTTTATGATTTTTTAGAGTGCCCAGATCTGTGGGGACCTGAAGTAAATAATTTTAAAACTTATCATTAGATAGAGCGCACCAGAGAAACTATCACAACTATATTTTTTAGACTTTGTGAATGCAATTAGACTGCATGTTCACATCATAAACCGAAATTGTCCACTGTGTCCATCTCTCTCTCTTATCATCATTTGTCTTCTTTTCACAGATCGCCCTCGCCTTCTTAACGAGTGGTGATACCATTGATGAACTACCTAAAGACAACTATTGTGTTTTTGCGAGTGCAGTTAAAGAAGAAAAGAACTAGAGAACTGAAAAGAGTGAATAACTTTAACCATCATATCTGGCTATAAATGTGTGTGAAGAAGGCATACACCTTACCAGTACGGTCGTCTAATCGCTTATTTATGGTTGTAAGAATAGAAAGAGTTTGTTTTTAAAATTCGCTTCTCAAACCCTTCCCGTACGAGTTTGTTCATGTGAATGAAAGTTTTTGGTATTGTTTGTGGACGCTTACTGCAAACATTTTTATTTTGTTTTCTGTTCGTTTACCTTCATCCACCAAAAAGTTTATAACTCTGATTCTATGATTGAGAGAAAAAATCTCATTTATGAGGTGGTACTTGTAAATTTCAATTTTTTCATAGTGGAATTCATTTATTACGAATATTACGTTTCTTATTGAAATTTGAGCACTTATATCAATAACGGGAGCCATTTGTCTGAAGACTGAATCATTACAATCATTATACAATTATAAGCAATATTTTAAAAATTGTCTTCTGTTTACTTTTAATATTACTTTTCTTTTTCACTTCTTCAAATATTCCCTTGACTTTAGTAGTCTAGGGTCTTACAAAATGGTTGTCTGTGTGTTTGTGTGTATGTGCGCAAAACACGGAAAAATGGCTGTCAGATATTCTATGGATAAGCGAATCACAAGAGTGAAAAGTATAAAATTATCTTTTACACAAGAGGGAAAATGTTCAAGCGGTGACAGAAAAATAATTACTAATGCAGAACGAAAGAAAAACTAACCAAATATTTTCATAGTTGCGACATAGATGTCGTCGTAAATCAGTCAATTGTGATAACACAAAAAGTGATCTACGGATAATAAAACTTATAGTATACAGATAGTCTATCATGGCTAATTGATCAAAAATACTTGGAGCCTCCACTCGGACATTCAGTGGGTGTCCACAAAAGTTCGTAGCTGGGTATGTCCATTCAGGTCCGTTCACTGTATACAGACATAACAGCCGCGAAAATTTGAACATTTCTGTCGTATAGAGCATAGAGAGTTACATGGAATTGCTCATTTGCTCATTAAAAAAGTCATATTCTACATGCCCGTTTAGGAATATCAGGTTTTGGCCTCTCTGAGAACGAAGCAACTTTGACCTTGTTTTTCTTTACATCAATAGAGTTAACATCGACGTTTGATATACTATATGAAGAAGCAGCTCGAGTAGTATAAGTGCTGCTGCTCAAAACTGTTCTACAATTTTTACAAGCACAGGCCAGCTGTCACAAAACGGCCGAAAATGAAAAAAGGGCACTTAGTATTTCATCTCTCCTGACGGCAAAAGAAAACAAAAAGTTCTTACACTATAGATAAAAATGAAGCTAAAGAGCTGCTGCTTAATCCAATGAAAAAAGGATAATGTCGATATCAATCTCCGTCTTTGAGTAAGAAGCCTATCTTTGAACGCCCATTTTCAAAATGTCTAACTTTCAGGCCTCCCAGCACAAAAAGTGTTCAGTCGAATTTTTTTCTTTTTCTCTCATTTATAGTACTCGTCGAGCTCTACAAAATAGCATCAAAGAACGGAGCACTTCAGGTGTTTCATTCTGAAAAAAACCATTAGGAAAAAAACCATCCATCCAGAAAGACCCGTGTGGTACGTCAAGTATCTCATTCGTCGTTTCAGCTTTTTCTTATATGGCAGTTTAGTCAATTTTTGTTAGTGTTCAAGTAACAGCAAACTGTTTTTAATTAAATTTTTTTTATAATAATCATACGTTTTTTGATTATGTATTCAGTTATCACTACCAGCAAAATCATCTGTAGGGTGTTTGACAGTTCTACAAAGATAGATTAAAAGGAGCTGCAAAGGCCCAAAATTTCTTTCTGGGCTTTGTTCTCCCTCAAACACATTCATGCTGTAGATAGCTGTGATTCACTCTTACCTCGACTTGATCTACTGTTGGTATGTTTGGTTATGCAAACATGCTTCTTACAGCAGAATGTGATCTTTTTAATGAAC